CACCACCCCCCCCGCCGTCGTCACTATTTTTAATGGTTATCGCTCTACGCTTGAATTTGCTCTCTACGTGTCTAAGCTAAATTTTAATGTGTTTTGGATGGTTTGGTATAATATATCTAAACTAAACTATAATATACGCAATAAATTTTCTAAGAAATCATCGCTATCGCGAAAATCCGTTCCGGAGTTCGGTCGTCTTCGTAGTGAATCCAATAGTTAGCTGCAGCCTGTCAAGCAGGTCATGGCTACCGCGGCTTCATTGAGTTTCTTGCTATCTTTGCGTTTCATGGCCATTGGGGCCGTTTAATTTCTTCAAACGCGAAAGATGATTGCAGACGTCAGAAGGCCAAAAGATATTCAACACTCTTAATTGTACAATGCCACTCTGAAATCTTGAGTGGTGAGGTGAGTTGACTGTTTGACTTCTGTCTTCTGCCTTACGCAGTATTTACTTCACTTAATTGGAGACTGTCGATGTTATGATGAAGTTTCTAGCAAGTCAACAATGCCATTTGCAACATCAGACCTAATGTAACATTTCATCTTGTACCATAAGTCTATGTTACCAAGGTTAACTGATGCTTTACATAGTCTAGATGCCCTGTCAATTAGAAATGTTTAACTGAATGAATGAATGTTAAGAATTAGCAAAATAATAAATAAAGATGCATATACAATGTAACTGGATTTTTCAAAATTTCTGATATTTTCATCACTTTAATAATGGTAAATGGACATAGACAGTAGATACATTAAACAGACGAGAGTATAGTTATTGCATTTGAACTATTAGAGATGAATTTAACTATCTTAAAGTTCTAATAAGATGATAAATCTCTACTGTGAAATATTAAATGATTGTCGCTATATTGAACAATATGTTTTTTTACCATCACAAAGCAGACTTCAGTTTAGCTGCTGTTGACATTTACATGATGTTAGTGATATATCACAGTGACAGCACATAATCCGTAGACATGCTACAATTGTCACGTAAAAACTTAATTCCTTATTTGTGTATATGTTAACACCTTACTTTTGAGGTACTCAGTAGTTTATTGAATAATTAACCACAAGCAGAGAGTGTTAAAATGACATTTGTAATAATGAGGAATAACCAGTTGACAAATTTGGGGGTTAGGAGTTGTAGTGATTGCAATTTAATAGCCCAAATTAGGTTGACAGCCAAAGACAAATATCTGGGTCACTCTTTGAAAGTTGTTGGAAATAGATTTTGATGGTCAGATGCATACATGATATAATACAAGGTAATAAAAGCATTTTGTTGGTTTTGCCAATGTGCATTGTTTTCAGTCAAATTGATAGGACCACTGTTATTCATGTTACTGTCAGTCATTGATTTTTTGGTTTAATTAGATTGAATTACTAGTTATATTAATCACTTAGTTACTGGTAAATGGAAGTGGAAGTAGCTTTTTATTTAGCACATTACATCTAATCCTGGATGATCCTGTGATGATAATTGAAGATGTATTTGAGAAATCAAATAGATAAGGGAACCTGGGTTAAGATCAAAATATTACTAGTAGTCACATGTTTTATTTTGAAGTGCATAAACATGTATCCAAACTTTCCAAAGACATTAACAAGGAAGCATGTGTATGATTTTAAATGTACTTTTATCTCACTCTCCCTTACAGTATTTCAATAGCATGAATACAAACTTTTTGAGATATTTTGAAAGAGAGAAGGAGACATAAATATGTTTTAAATTATGCACATACTTCCTTGTTGATGTCTCTGGGTACATGTAAATGCAGAGGATCACTATACTAACAACCAGTTGTATGGGGAGCTAAAGAGGTGAAATGAATTTAAATGAATGTAAAAGTCTATTTTCTTTTCTGTTTAAAATATATTTTTAGACCATGCTGAATGAAGGGTTGTGTGGGCACGAGTGGAGTTTTTGGAATGTGATACTTGGCTTTTTTCTGTGTATATGTTGAAAGAAAAATTGTTTTATAATAGGGGCATTGTATGTTATCATATTTAGGGTTGGTATGTGCCATCGTTCATGAATACATATTGTGAAGGCATTTAGGGTGCTTGAGTAAACAAAGACAATGTAATGAAAAAACTTCAGGTACATGTATGTTTTATTTCTTCAGATTTGTTTTGTATGTTTCAAATTGGGAATAATTTGATATAGGGTGTGTACTTCTCGATTGGTGCAAGACAGATATTCAACTCACTTTCCATCAAATCCCATTGCAATGGAGAATGATACCATGCATATTGTAATAAATAAATAAATAGATAAAAAATAGAAAATCCTGGCTTGTAGCATAATATCACATATAAAAGTGCTCAATCATAGCTGTTTTTTTATGTTAAACCCATGAACTGACAAGTCATTTTTATGCTTGAGCCTGGCTCTTGTGGAAATACATAGATGAAAGTTAAAATTTTTGAGTGTGTTATTGAGCACTGTAGTGAGTAAAATGATATAGCTCAGGGTATCTGAAGCAAACTGAAAATTGCATGTTTGCTGTATACAGGGTGATGAATAATACATCAGCAGGTAGTGTTTTTAAACTTGTTCCTAGAGATTAAGGATAATCCATACCTGTTGGCCCATTGGAAATCTACCAGTCAGAATCTCTGTGAAGGTGCTCCTTGGCTTAGTAGCCAGGTTGCAGGGCACTGCTATATGAATGTCAAGGCCCTGTGTATGAATTTGCAATATTTTTCAGCAGCTAGGGGAATATTCCAGGTATCGACCTCGGCTATGGTTGTTGTTGAAGTAAAGGTGCATAGGATATGAAATTGTACCCACGTGCCTCTCTTTACCATTGGTTCTGGGAATAGAAATGATAATGGGCTTGCAGGCTGAGTTCTAAGTAGAAAGAAGAGAGACAGGTAGAGGAGACCCGAGGACACACAGCTTAGTAAATCAAAGAAGAAACATCTGTGTGAAGCTGTCTGGGGGAAAGTGGTTTCAGGGAAGCTATTTGGCTGTGCCTCACCTATGAGCACCAGGTACTATGATTTATGAAAAGGAAGAGAAGGCAGATAACTTAGGGCATTTTTTATGGACCTCTCATTGGTTGTAAGGGAAGTGGAACCATTTCAGCCTTTGATAGTGTTTTCCTTGAATATCTCAGCCTTTGAACATACTGTGAAGTTGGTGAACAGAAGCTAGAGGACTGAGTTAGAGATAGGATTGATGTGTAGTTTGTGTGCTTTTTGAAGAAGCAAGTATCGGCACACAGTAGGAGGAGAACACTCCGTTCTTTTTTGAGTGTGCTCCTTTCAAGGTACATGTATGAGTGTTTAATGTCTTTTTGAGATTTTATTGAATACTTTATAGTGACGATTGCCTCACTGAAGATGTATGTGTTCTGCCTCTTTGTGGGAGATCATGGGATCTCTAATCAACTCATAATTAATGTATTTTTAAATTTCTTACAATTGACTTGGGAAAGTATGTTGATGTGGAATATATATACAAAATTTGCATGCCAGTTTTGAATTTGAATCACATGTTGTCTGACTTCAGATTAAATGACCTTTAAAGCCAGTTAACTTCAAGGATCACAGACATGTAATGAATTGGTAGTTTGAGTTAATGCATAAAAAAATCAGAAGGATGCCAATTTAGCTAAATGTCTAAATGAAAAAAAAAATTGTCAGTGACTTCACTAATTGTAAAGTCATCACAAGTGTAAAATGGCTGCAGGAGTGAAGTGATGCTCTCAGATTTTTACATAATTGAAAATTGGGATGCTGCGTGAATTATTCATGGTTGTGCTGAAGAAAGGCATTCAAGATTGATTCCTTGCTAGTTTATTTTCACAAAGTTCAATGTTGTTTATTAATACCTAATGATTTAGGTACTTAATCATGTAGAAATGAAGATCACTCTGTCGATGAAGTATTGATTGGCTAAATAATTACTGAAGTGTTTCTAATCAGTTTGAGTGCAGTAAGTTAATTATTGCTGTCAGGGTCATTTATGTTTTATCGTAATTGTCATTAAAACAAAAGTTAGTTCAAAGCCAGCATTATGAATGGTGAATTTTTTTTTTCTTCACTCTGAGTGATGATTTAGTATACGGATATTATGTGTTCTAGTATGAAATAATAATTGGTGTTAGCTTTAAATAGATATTTTTAATGCATAATCTCAGAAATTATCATTTCCACAGATTGATATTTGGTTGAATTCTGCATTAATCTCTCTGTAAGTTAAGTGTGGTATCATGTGTACTTGGCATGTTTTTTATTGCTGTCATCTTTATCAAATTGTGTCCTGGGCAGAGGTCATTTTCTATTTGTTCTGACAGTCAGTTAATGTAATCATAGAAGATACTTGAACAAAGCAGAGTGGATCCCCTGATATAATGATTGAATTTTTCATTGCAGGCACCAGTTTAGGATGAACTTAAATGAGTTAATGCCTCGGAGGGTGCCTTCAGTAGGTAATGGGAGAAGTTTGGACAGGGAGCTGTCGCCCAAATCCACGAAAGTAGACCCAAAGAAAACCTCCAGGGAATGGTCCCCCACTCTCACAAGACAAGACTTGGACAATGCAAAAGAAAGGCCGCCTAAACCTGGTAAACTTGACATTGAAAATTCAAATTCCCCTGCAAGGAGAGAGGGTTCTGCAGCACACAGTTGTCAAAGTCTTACCCCTGGACCAGGGGCTTCATGCACGGCCTTGAAACATGCTGTAGCATCCTTGAATAGGCTAGATGACTTCTACTGTGAGAACTTGGGCAGTGGGTTCTTCTCTGAGGTCTATAAGGTAAGGATGCGTGCAGTAAATTAGCTCAAAGCAATATGCAAAGAAAAATTCAAGTATGAGAGGACTAAGCTAGGTTTACTCTAGCATTGTGGGTTTTATCCAAATGCTAAATATATTTTAATTTGTTTAAGGCAAATGTCAAACAATTTACCGTTATAAGTCAAATTTGTTTTAGAAATAGTTAAGAATTTGGGCTAAAATGCTGAACATATATATTCCTTTCATGATCCGGTTTCATTCTGTACCATATCTTGTATAATATTGACTGGTTTTTGTTAGATTAGAATTCTTGGTACAGCATTATATTATTTGGAGATATTTTTTAAGTGGTGTCTTTATGTTCATCATCATTTCAGACATTCAAAATATTTTAGACTAGGTGAACTAGTTTCATTTTAGATGGCAGTTATTGTGTAAACAACCTTGGAATAGCAAAACAGTGGAGTTCAGTTGATGCTGTATTGTTAGGATAAACATATTTTTTGCATGGGTCATTTAATATCATTGCAGAGCAGTTTTGATAAAAGACAAGCATGCATATCATTTTTGAAGTTATAAAAATGGGGATGATATCAAAAAATTCATTTATGTTCTCTTTGTGGAGAAAAAATAATACATTAGACTTGCTTGAGAATATGCAAATGAAGATTTTTTTCTTTTCTTTCTTTCTTTTCTTCTTTTTTCATTTTTATTTATTTATTTATTTTGCTATGTAAAAAGTTTCTGTAGATTAATATAGTGTTAAAAACATAAAAGGATTTTAAGCACTTTTAATACTTGATCCCTTGAAACTATATCAAGAGTACACTTGTCAA